TTTCTTTTTTTTTTTTTTTTTTTTTTTTTTTTTTTTTTTTTTTTTTTTTTTTTTTTTTTTTCATAAGGATAGACTGGAGTGCTAAGTACACAAATTGGAAGTGATCAGAATAATGACAATTGTGGAGCTGAAAATATTATTTTTAAATTCTCTGAGATACCAGCTCATAAGGAGTTCAGTTTGTGTCGCAGTGGAAATCTTGTTACTATGCTTTGACAGACTGCTTTTCTTTAAAATGGATGGAAATAATTTTCACCCTCCAGAAAGCAGAATGTGTGAATGGAAAAACTACCCCTTCAGGACCAATTGCTAAGAAAGAAGAAAGAATGGGACAGCCCTTTGAAAAATTGAATCTGCTTCTGACTTATACAGGAAAATTTACTAGCCGGCAATTTTGAGTCCCTAGCCAGATTTTTAAATATGAATGAAATTCTCAGAATGACACAAAATGTGTCCTTTTATGTGTGTATAAATCAAATGTGTATATCCACTGTTGAGCTTGTTGCACATTGTTCCATTTAAAAACCTATAGTTATTTCAAATTCATTTAATTTCTGAGACTTCCCGATTTACATAATTTGATTTTCTCTTTACTTATCTTGGAAAAAAAAATAAAAAGGCATAGTATACTCAACCAGTAAATTTGAAGCTCTTTTTCTGAACTTTTCACATTAATTTTAACTGGTGTCATGCTTGAAGCATCTTTAAATAATTAGAAGCTTTTATAAATGAAATTTTTGATTGTCACAGAATGAAATTAAGCTGGACACTAGAGATTAGGTAATAAAAAAAAGAAAGGAATAAAAAGCCCAACAATAAACATCTCCTCTTACTAAGGAAATAATGATATAAGACTACAGTACTCATCATCAAGAACACAAGGAACATAAGGGCACTACCTCTACACCAATTTAAGTCCTGGACATGGACATGACCCTTGATATCAACCAGAGAACAAACAGCAACAGCTGCTGATAAATTCTAAGGGACAGATCCCAAAACCTTTGTGCCCTTTATCCCACCATCTCTATTGCTACTCAGTCACGGTATTGACATGCCTCAGTCCATATCTCAGCCAATCACCACTTGCCTTGTGGCTTCTGGATGTCCAGCCCAGGGATATGGATGGGGTAATTCAGGACAAGCAGCTGAATTTTATGCTTAGTTCTCCTTCCAAACCAAGGTACAGGAGAAGGCCGGAATTGTGAACTGAGATCTTGTGTGGATATTTGTAAGAGCCTGAGATAGAGATGCGGGACTCCAGGTGGCTCTTCCAAATGCAGTTTATTACATCCAAGGTGTTACAGCAGTCCAGGGTCGTGGGCGACAGAGCCTGTGCCTACAGCTGTCAGCTGCATCTGCAGGCAGGCCTGGAGACCCCGAGTTTAGGTTACAAATGCATTATATACTTTTCTTTACTGAGCATCTTAATACAATAGAACCAATCTATACCTTAGCTTTTATCTATAGCCTATCACAACTACTATAATTACCATATTCATAGCTCTGTTTTGTAAGGTGGCATGTCTGACTGCCTCCTCATCGGTCAGCAAATCACTAATTATGGTAGAGGTGGCATTCACTTCTTTACTGAGCCAACACCCTAATTTGTTTAACTGTTTCAATGCAATTGCAGAACTTAACTGCAATTGTAATTAACTTAATTGTAACAATTGAATTTCCTGAGTTCCAAGGATGAAACTCACTATCGCAGTTGCTCTCATAATGATGCCCTAAGGAGGATCTTATTTTTCTATTCTTCTTTTTAACTGCTTTTTTGATACTGGGAGCAATTACTGTAAGTTGTCCCAGAGCACAAGGGCCACCGTCTAATTTTGAGGGAATACCCTGCCAAGCCCTGTCTCCACAGATAAGCCAAATTCCTTTAGGAAATCGAATTGGAAGTTTGTTAAGACGATCTGCATAAGGTTCATCATATATAAGAAGCTTAGTTTGATTACACCAAGAAGTCATATTGTTATAAACTGGGTGATAAGGAGTGACATTTAAATGTGGCCCATTTTGTCCTATAAAATGAAACAAATAACAAGTGTCCATAGTTAATGAACCTAAAATTTCTAATTCTTGAAGATCAGATTTATCAACTTTAAAATTATCTATATAAGTTTGGTGTCTTGGGCTGGGAGTTGGGGAAATGTGATGATCATCATATGGCCAATATTTCTCAAAAGTAACATTATCAAAACCTTCTGGGAAAGGCACTCCAACTAAACAAGTTGAAAAAGGTTTATCAGGGCTAGTGTTAGATAAGCAAATGGTGTCAGAGCCTGCAGACTTGGCTAAAGAAACCCAAACATTTGTTTTTGGTTGTGTTACAGGTAAAGCTTCACTGCAAAGATAAAAACAAAAGGTTAAAAGTAACATACACGCGCGCAAATAATAATACAACTCCATTCTCTTCTTAAACCGATTCTGGCAGAAAGTTTTCTCTGGGTGATTCTGCGTAGATCACGTTTGCGTGCCTGTCTCTCGGCTTCCACTCGCAGGATCACTGGCTGGTGCAGAAGCATCCACGGGCTTTGAGGGGTGGTACGGTTTCACGTTTTTTGCTGGAATCCACTTGAGTCCTGTATCTGTAGAAACACACGCAAACCCCTCGCCCCATGTAATAAGCTCAAATTAATAAGCTCAAATGGTCCCTCTATTTTTCCTGACTCTAGATTTTTAATTAAAACTGGAGGGCGTTCCTTCAGTTTTGCTTTGTTGTTGTTCTTGAAATGTCTGTAAATGGGAGGATCTGGCTCTTCTGCAGAGCTATTCAGAAAATTATAAACATACAAAGCCTTATTCAACCTTCTTTGAGGTGTATCTTGGGCTCCCCCCCCTTTTTGTTGATCCAAAATGCGTTTTAGAGTTTGATGTGTTCTTTCTACCATTCCCTGACCTGTAGGAGAATAGGGAATACCAAATGTATGGTGAACACCCCAGTCATTTAAAAATGTGGCCAATTCTTGTGAAGCATATGAAGGACCATTATCAGTTTTAATTTCTTGAGGAACACCTAATGAAGAAAATGCTTGTGAAAAATGCTGGCAAACATGTTTAGCCGTTTCTCCTATATGTACAGACGCAAAAATTGCTTTTGAAAATGTATCAATGGAGACATGGATATTTTTAAATTTACCAAAAGAAGGGTACTTTGTGACATCTGTTTGCCACTTCTGCAGACTTTCCAACCCCCTTGGGTTGGTTGCTCCTGTAGAAGGAATAGGCTGAACAAGCTGGCAGTCAGGGCACGCCCGTACAATGGCTTGTGCCTGCTCTAGGGAGATGTGAAAATCTCGTTTGAGTGCCTGTGCATTTTGGTGAAAAAAGGCATGACTCAATTTAGCTTGTTCAACAATGTTAGGTAAGGTAGCTGCAGGAAGCACAGAAGTGCAATCTTTAATGTCTTCTTCAGTTCCCTCATCACACGCTGCTGATGCCAATGCATCAGCTTGTGCATTCCCTTCTGCCATAAATCCTGGGAGACCAGAGTGAGCTCTAATGTGAGCAACAAAGTAAGGATTAGTTCTGTGTAACAAAATTTGATAAAGACAGGTAAGCCAAAGACACAACGTGTCATTGCTAACATCTTTTAAAACAGACCCTTCAATTCTCTTAACAACATTAGCCACATATGCTGAATCAGTGACTAAGTTAAAGGGTTCTGGGAAGAGCTGAAATGCTCTTACAACTGCAGCCAATTCAACAATCTGAGGAGAACCTTCGACCTTTTGAACATCTTGCTCCCAGGGTTTAGTGTTTTTATTTTGCCATGTAATCACTGCTTTGTGTGTTTGTCCTGACCCATCAGTGAAAAGAGTAACTGCATCTAAAGGTTCTTCACTGATAAGGGGTTTCTCTTTGTAGCATAATTTAGCTTTGATCAGTTTGTGTGCTGGGTAATGATGGAACAAATACCTGGAAAATGTAACAAGGCATACAGCAAATCTTCTGACTTTTGCATGGCCCAATCAAAATAGGATTTAATCATAGGTAAATAGATTATTTCAAATTCGCAACCTGCTATAGAAAGAAGTCTTGCTCTGCCCTTAATGATAATTTGAGAAATCATCTCTAAAGATGTGAAGATCGTCTTTGGTGACCTGTAAGAAAGAAAAACCCATTCAATTATTAACAAAGGATCATTTTGAGAGGAATCCCATTGGAAAATGAGGCCATACTGTCTCAGCGTTTCTCCTAGAACTGCAAGGAAAAAAGGTATATCTGGAACATAGCGATGTGTTTCTCTGTTTTGTAGAGCATCGGCAATTTTCTCCAAAGCCTTGCTAGTTTCAGGAGTAGCAGATCTGGGGGATGATTTTTTGGCTCCCTCAGTGGTTCTTGGTGCCGGTGGCAACCTGCTTGGCCACGAGATGCAGATTTCGCTGCCCCTACGGAGTCAGTTTCTGGCTCTCGTCTTGATCTTTTTCGACCGCCCTGGGTGCCTCGATCACCTGCAGCACCCGGCGGGTCACGGAGCCCGAGCCGCGGCTGAGGTGGCTGGGCCGGACCCCGCGGCGCTGCCGGCTCCCGGGCACCTTGGCCGTGGAGCTCACGCCGGCCCCGCCGCACAGGTACAGGTGCCGGGCTGTGGAGGCTGCTCCTGTGTAAAACCCGTTCTTTTTTGTGACGGGAGATGGGAACCCCCGATCTGGGATTGCCGGGCTGCTGGAAATCTGCTGCTTGTGGGGATTGTTCCGAACCAGGAAGCAGCGCCGGGGAATTCCCGGGGCTTGGTATTTCTTTCTGGGTTGAAAAATCTTCATTCCCGGGGCAAGCCCTGGCGTTATTTTGAAACATTTCTAGTTGGTTTTCGGGGTTTATTTGCTTTGGAGTAAAGCAATTCCCCTCTCTCTTCAAGATATCGTTAGTTTCGTCTGCCTCTCCTACTGCATGGGCAGTTGCTCTTTTCTTCTCCCCCTCCCCCCGTCTCCTGGCGGCTGGAGAGGCCGGCCGGGCCCGCTCGGAGGGACGCGGCTGCGAGGGTGCGGGTGGAACGGGGCTGGGGGAGGGGCGCGGCGGCGGGGGATTCGCGGCGAAGATTTCCACAAGGACTCGGCAAGCGGGGAGAAGTTCCGCTGCTGTTTTGTCGCGCCGAGAGATAGCATTATATAATTTTACCCCCACAGATTCCCAAAAGTCTCTGGTATAGAAGGCTTCAGAGTCAGCATTTGGGATACGAGTTATAGTCCATTTAAAAAGCTCTTTGAGCTCTCGCTTAGGCAAGGATTTTGGACTTGACTTAATTAAATATTTTAAATGCTGATACACATCTCTCCGAGGAACAGACTTATTCTGCCCCATTATTCCCGGTGCTCACCTGCCGTCCAGCTATGCAGCAGGTGCTGAATATGGAGGCTCCGATCCAGGCACTGTCCAGCAGCAACTCCTGTCCGGGCCCCGGTCACCTTCTTTTCAGGTGCCTGATCCGTGCGGCCGCTTCCTACTGAGTTCACCGAGAGGTCTCTTACTGTCAATAAGTCCGAGTTTGCCAACTAAAACGTGGGCGCCAATTGTAAGAGCCTGTGCCTAAGGCTGTCAGCTGCATCTGCAGGCAGGCCTGGAGACCCCGAGTTTAGGTTACAAATGCATTATATACTTTTCTTTACTGAGCATCTTAATACAATAGAACCAATCTATACCTTAGCTTTTATCTATAGCCTATCACAACTACTATAATTACCATATTCATGTTACTATTCTCCAATCACTAAAAGTTAGTACATTACAGTTTAAGCTAGAAGTTGTTTTTCAGTTTTCTTGCAGTGGAAAATTCTGAGACCTTTTTTCTACTTGCAACATTTGCTGACTTGTTTGCCTGTGCTATCTTTCTGCTTGGTAAAAACATCTTCTTGTTTGAGGTGGGTTTATCCTTTGCTCTAAGTCATAAAAAAACCCCTTCTAACTAACATACCCTTTGCCTCCTTGGTTATCCAGTGAGACTGGCTCAGCAATTCTTTTCTTCTATATCAAAATTTACTTCCATCTCTATTCCTTCCTCAGCTTCTACATTCAAAAATCTTTCTGTCAAGCATACATATTTGTGAGACTTTCTTGTCAAACTTTCATCCTTCCCAACAGATATTAAGCAAGGTTTATACTCTCGCACCTGACAGCATGGATGGTGTCCATGGGTTTGTAGTTTAGACAAAGCCAGTGTCCTATACATGTGAGAAAACCTACTAAAATTGAACAGGGCAGCTGTCTGCTCTAAAATGTACTTTATCGGTGTTGAGAAATAACAGAACTGGCTTTAAGCGCATGGCACAGGTACCTTCAGTAGTGAAAACTTGGCATCAGATATTTTAGGGTTGTACAGAACCAGCATGGCTCAGATGGTTGGTGCCCAAATCAGAGCCTCCTACAAAATGCTGCTACCAAAAAAATGCCCAGGAACAAGAGGAAGTTTCCACAGTGTACAACTGAGTTTCCCAGTCTTATAAAAACATTACTTTCCAGCTGCCAGAAAACCTCCATACTGTGAAACAAATTGAAGACTCTTGCTAGTCTTTCAATACATGTAATTTCATCCTCTGTAATTTCATCCTTTTCTGAACCTTAGTCTATTCCTCTGTACATCTGATCTTGGTGGGCTCTACACCTGCCTCCTTCCTTTTGCTGGAAACTGACAGTTGAAGGAAGCAAGTCTCACATCCAGTATGAAATGTATCTACTGAAAAAAAAAAAAATCATCTTTGATTCAAAGGAACAGCTAAGCAGTTGTTAAGAAAACTAAGATGTAGCACTGTGGCAAGAGTATTCAGAAAATTCAGAAATACAAAACTGCTCAGAGCCCTACCTTCTCCCTGTGGCAGATCTGACATTTGTGTGCATTGCTAACTTGAACTGACAAATTGCTCAGTATTTTCCATTAACATTCCTGCTGGCTTGTGTTGTAAGTAGGGAGATAACACATTTCAGCTGAGCTGGAGATAATGCTAGAAAGCAAACTGCCTCAGCTGTCTACCAAATTACTGACAAACATCTGATTGGTATCCAGTTGTCTCAACCACTGGTGGAGGGTGGAAGGTAGGATGGCTGCACAGAACAAAGCTAGAGAAAAGCAATGCTTTGCCTTCCTCATCTCAAGCAGTGGTTTCTGAATAAGAATCAGGAAACCCACAAGTATTGTTCCCTTTCTATTGTCCAGGAGAAAACCTTTCCTCAAAGAAAAATTTGACCAGAAAATGGTTCAGGGGTGAAGAGCTCTGGATTGGTGTCTTAGGCTTCTGCAGCCCCTTGGGCTTTGATGAGATGGAAGCAAAATTCCTCAAGGTGCAAGAGGGACTGACACAAGAATTCAGGAAGTAGACATGGTTGATGAAAAGAACTGTTAGGTCCAGTATGACGATAAAGAAGCAGACTGTTAGAAGTTGTTAAGGAGGCTGTATACTGTTTGGCATTCATTGCTGGGTACACAATGAGCAGATGTGTTTGCGAGAGTTAAATATGCAGTGGCAAGCATCACAAATATTCCTCTCTGTTTCTGTCCAATCACATGCTTACTCAGACACACACCTAAAGGTGTGGTGTCCCAACAGGGCAATGCAAAGTGAAACCTGGCTTAAATAACCAGGCCTTTAAAAAGTCCAATTTGTCAGAGGAGGTCTTGATGATTTTTAGTCTTTATTATTTGGCATACTACAAAATAACATTCCCAAATCCCTCTTGTCTCTGAGCCACCTTTATTGTAGCCACGCAACAAAGGAAACAGAAGGTGCCTCTGGGCAAGGATGTGGCCAACCTGTTTTCCAGTGTGACTACTGAGAATGGTGGTGCTGACAGGGTGAGAAAGGAGAGAGAAGTGCCTGTAATCTGTTTTTCTAGGGTATGTGCAGGCAATGAAGCAGGATGGAGAAGATCTGTGGGGGACTTCTCTTGGGGAAGGGCTCTCCCAGACAAAAGCAAATATGCAGAGTGCAAACATATGGAATGCCATACCTGTCTTCTGTAGTCCTTTGAGTGTTTTTCCTCTGCTCTTTTATTTTCAACAAGCATCTGCATTGAATATCTGTCTTCTGAAAACCAATGTCAACAATGTATGCTGTGCCCTATCTTGGCTTCCATGGGAAAGCACGAGAGATGTCAGCGGTGGATTGGAGGATGAAACTTGTGCTATACACCAGGCTGTGAAGGTTTCCCTTCCCTGGTCTGGCTCTGGTCAGCCCTGTTCTTTCTGGATGACAGCAAGCCAGAGAAACACATGATCTCCAGAGGGAACAGCAAGGTAAGCTTGCTCCCATCTTGTATAAAAGTAAGGTACATTGGGTGAAGCCCTAATAGCAAACTGATCTTCCTCCATAGATCCCACTCTGTCTGAACAAGTTCACTTTGCTGCAGCTAAAAATGATGTTGCTTATACATCCCCATTACACTAGTGAAGTGAGGCACACATCTGTTACCTGGAGTCTCTTGCCTTCTGGGGTAAATTGTAACTATGTCTGGATTTCTGAGAGTTTTTCTGTGGCTTTACATGCTGATGGCAGAAGACTGGGCATGAGTTGTGAATAGAAAGGCACAGAATCTTCTTTTGCAACTTCAAAATAATCTTTACTAAGCATTTATTCATAGACTCATAGAATTGTTAAGGTTGGAAAAGGCCTCTAAGATAATCAAATCCAACTGCCAACTCAGCACTGCCACATCCACCACTAAACTATGTCCCCAGGTGCCACATCCACCTTTTGAATGCTCGCAGGGATGGTAATTCCACCAGTTCCCTGAGCTGCATATTCCAATGCCTTTCACCTTTTCAGTGAAGGAATTTTTTCTAGTATCCAATTTAAACTTCCCCTGGCACAACTTGAGACCATTTTCTCTTGTCCTGTTGTTGGTTACCTGAGAGAAGAGGCCAACGCCCACCTGGCTACAACCCCCTTTCAGGTGGTTGTAGAGAGCGATAAGGTCACCCCTGAGCTTCCATTTCTCCAGGCCAAACACCCCCAGTTCCCTCAGCCACTCCTCACAGGACATGTGCTCCAGACCCTTCCCCAGCCCCACTGCCCTTCTCTGGACACACTCCAGCACCTCAGTGTCCTTCTTGTAGTGAGGGCCTCAAAACTCAATGCAGAACTTGATGTGTGGCCTCTCCACTGCTGAGTACAGGGGGACAATCCCTGCCCTGGTCCTGCTGACCACTCTGTTGCTGGTCCCAGCCAGGATGCCGCTGGATTTCTTGGCTGGGATCTCTGCCAACTGATGCTCATCTGGCTATTGACTGGGAAGTTGGCAAAGCAAAGCTACAGGAAGAACGGTTTACATTTACTATAACCCTCAGAAAGAAAGCTACCATCAAGATAAACATTCCAGTCCTACCTAGATATGCTGCATGGCACCTGGACTTTGAGGTAACTCTCAGCCACACTGAGGGTGGGAGCAATGGAATTGATTAGAGAAAGAGGAGGGGACACAACCACAGCTATTGTTCACACACTGTGAAGTCAGGGAGAAGCGTGGATCTGTTGTCTAGATCCAGACTCTGCAAAATACTTCTCTGTCTCACAAATTATGTGCCTTTTTGGAATCTTTAGATAAATTAAATACAAGCTGATCATGATTTAGAAACTCAGAGGATGTCCAAAAATGAGAAAGAAGCTAACACAGGCATTTTAGAACCTCACAGAAGCCTAGGAAAAATCATCCCCCAGAAATAAGACATGAACTGAAAGAGCTGGTTCACTGAATGGTGACATTGCTCTTGCTGTGATAGTCAAAAGGTAGGTAAGGCAAAATTTCTAGCATCTTTTATTAGGCCAGATAATATACTTGGAAAAATAGATAAGCCTTACGCATACAGCTTCTAGCCTCTCTTACAAATAATATCTTCTATTAGACTGCTTTTTGGAGACCCACACTTCTCTGGCTTATCTCCTCTTAGAAAAGAGTTGGATGGGATTTTCAAGGATGTCTCAAACACATTAGATACCTCTGTGTGGGTAACTGAACCTAAAAATATTTTTAAGATGAAGAAACTTGGCTTTGACTCACAAATTCTTCCTTAGTTTATATGAAATTAAAATTATCTTCTTCTACACTGTTCTGAAGGCATTTCAAAATCTTTTAATAGTGGTTTTAATATGATGTAACATGTTCTTATCTTAATTCCAAAACAGAAATTATTGTATTTTTATACATAATCCTAAATTTTAGTAGCTGCTTTCAGTCTTGCCTTCATATGATTTCTGCAGAATAAGGAGATTATGAGCAATTTCAATCTTGGACTCACATCTAGTGTTCTCTCTCCAAATTCACAGACTGTGGAATCTGTGCCATCCAAAACATCTAAATATGTAATCCAGGCCAATGCATTTCTCATCTGCTGTCATTCTTTATAAGCAATCAGTGAGTTGATTTCCTAGGCATAGGCTGTGGGAAACTGTGATAATTCTGAGGATACTTTGTTTAGC